AGTAATGCAGAAACCAGAAGTGAATCCAGGCTTAATGTCAATTATAAGGATTTGATTGTTAAAGTACGAAAGGTAGTGAAATTTTTCAAGAAGTCTCCAACTAGGACAGAAGTTTTAAATAAACATGTCCTTGAAGATAACAAAAGAGCGGGCCTGGTTTTAGATTGCAAAACGCGGTGGAGCAGCATGGCGGACATGGTTTCAAAATTTTTGCTTTTAAAGGATGCAATATTAAAGGCACTGATTGACTTGAAAGAAAAAACTATGTTCAGTACCTACGAGCTTGATCTTTTGCAGGATTTATCTACGACTCTCACTATCGTAAAAAGTACTGTAGAAGCTATTTGCCAAGAAAAGGCGAATTTATTAACTGCGGATACAGCCCTGCAATTCATGGTCACTAAACTACAAGAGAACAATGGGGTTATCAGTAGTAGACTCCTTCAGGCTTTAACATTAAGAATCGCTCAACGCCGACAAGCAGATCTGGTATGTACACTGAAGTATTTACACAATCCTAACAAATACTACCAGGAACAATCTTCTACTGTCTTCCCTAAAGTAGGAAATGATGTTATCACCAAAGTCATAGTTGACATACAAAAAAAATACTTTAATCAAAGACCTTCAACAATAACTTATACTGGCGCTTCTGATGACGAAGATGACATATTTCTAGCAGATCTACAGCATTGTCAAAATGAAGAAGCGTCTAGAATCACAAATATGTCAATAAAAGAACAGCTGCAGAAAAAAATAGATGATGAAATGTGTGCAAGGCCTTCTACGTCCACAGCAACTTGCGAAGATGATCTAGAATCATCAATAAAAATGCAGATGGCTTTATATGATGCAGGAGCGCCAAGACAAATACACCTAACTCAGGCTTATGACGTGTTAATGTGCATTCCACCAACTAGTGTAGAGTGCGAAAGGGTATTTTCTTCTACGAAGTATATCTGCAATCATCTCAGATGTAAATTAAGCGATGATTCCTTAGACGCATTAAGTTTCCTCAGGTCTCACTTTCAAAGAATACGTAAAAAACAATAATTATTATGGCTGTGTTGATTTTATATTATAATAGGTAAATCTGACTTAATTCTTAGTTATTATTGATGAATCTGATTTATTAGTGTAATATTGCATATGAAAATGATACTGCAATGCCTTTACACCTTTACATTTGTGATACTTTTTATTTTTATTATTAACGAGTTTAAGACTTTTTGAATTGCTTGAGAATTTTATAATTGTTTTGATTAACATGTTCATGTATAATCGTGAGATTTATAAGAACATAAGGTTCCTACTATGTTTAAGAATTTGATAATACTTTTTATTTTACTAAACACCGAGTTTATATTGTTTAAAGATAAATGATGATTCTATTCGTGTTGGTATGTTAGATTATTTGCAATATTTATTGTTTTTTTGTTTAATGATTATTGTTCTGTTCCTAAAGCAATAAAAGCTGATATTTGAAGTGTATTTTTTAATATATTCGAATATTCGAATAATATTCGAACAGCACTGAAAAAATATTCGAATATTCGAAAATCAAAACTATCGAATATTTGCAACCTCTAGCCACAATAATGGTCGTACTGTACGCTTATACTGTTATAAAATCTTCATAAAAATACATTTTCGGAAACAATAATGGTTTCGACCATTATTGTGATTTAATTAGAATATGTTACTGTGGTCACCAGATTTTTTTTTTTGTTTCCCATCCACTATATTATTACTACCTTATTAAACAGTCCTTAAAAGTGTACTAATGGACGCACAGATATACACCTAAAACCATGTTACTGGTTGCAAATGATATTAGATAAATAAGTACTTGTGTGCCTGCTTTTAAAATTAGTTGAGCATAGTTTTGGCTTACTTTTAGCTTCACTTGAATTATATGCAGTCAGTCTTTCTTTCTTTCTTGATCTATTTTTTTTATTAACAGTGCACTGTTATAATACAGAATATCGATAAAAACTATTAGACAATCGCTCGTTTGAGATTTTAGGTTATAGTGAGGTTGCTATTTGATTGTTGATTTCTCCGCATTCCCTTTAGATATGGTAAAACTGATATTACTACAGTAATCTAGAGATAATAAGGAATAAATCTTCATACATTTCATTAAGTATCGTCACAATTTTTGGTGGGCCCATTCTCTATACAAAAAGAAATTGTCTCCTTTGATAAAGTATAGTCTCCATCGAAAATGACACTCGACAGAAGTTAACTGTTATATGCGAAGCAAAAGTTTTCCTATGAAACTGAAACGTCTTGCAACGAATAAATGATTTTACTGAATCAAAAAGTAAAGAAGCATTTGGAAATTGACATTACCATTATCATATAACTGTATGATGTACTAATACATTACAAAAACTGTCCTTTGCATAGGATTATGAGAGGTTTTCGATGCGTAAGCAACGCTTCAGATTCCTGATGAGACTTTATCATATAACTGTATGATGTACTAATACATTACAAAAACTGTCCTTTGCAAAGGATTATGAGAGGTTTTCGATGCGTAAGCAACGCTTCAGATTCCTGATGAGACTTTATCATATAACTGTATGATGTACTAATACATTACAAAAACTGTCCTTTGCATAGGATTATGAGAGGTTTTCGATGCGTAAGCAACGCTTCAGATTCCTGATGAGACTTTATCATATAACTGTATGATGTACTAATACATTACAAAAACTGTCCTTTGCAAAGGATTATGAGAGGTTTTCGATGCGTAAGCAACGCTTCAGATTCCTGATGAGACTAATACCGTTGAAGAGATGCAACAAAAGAATGGTCGGGGCAAACTCAGAACTACTACTTTTATTGGTGATAATTGATGTGTTAACAAGAATTCCAAAAACAAGGGGACGCTTATAAAGAAATTTATAATAAATTTATTCTATTACTAACCCGACGAAGACTAGCATTTCAGAAGTCGAAGAATTTATTATACTTTTCAGAAGAATGCCTCCATTTTCGTGCTCACTGCAGTATAAAAAATGAAGACTGAAAGAGTACTGTAAGTTTCTTGGAATAAATACGAGTTGAACTTCTTCAAACCATTTACCCAACGTATATACTGCTCTTCGGCCACAGGAAACCTGTCTTTTTGTAATACTTTTAAGATACTTTTGAAAATGATAAATTAAATTACTGTATTTCTTATTGTTAATCATCATAACTTTAAGTTAAGATTCCTTGTATTATTTCACACTAAGCCCTTTCACAAATATTATTTCGACTCGCACGTATTCTACTAAATAGTCTAACTGACCGAATAAAAATATGTAGTTTTATACATAGTTTAGTTTCAGGAGCAGTGCCGAAGATTTAAAAAAAAAATTTTGTCAAGCCGCCAGCCAAGCGTGGTAACTATGGCACGTATCCTTTCCTCCTGTGAGGAAATCTATGGGATTTTCCTACGTTCAGCAATGGACTTCTAATAGGTTGTAACAGACGGATGTTACGCGATGTCTTCGTCAATTGTGAAACGAATTTTTTTTAATTAATACTTTTATACTTTAGGGGTTGTCCAATTTTGAGAAATATTATTATTTATTTATTATTATTTTTTTCATATTCATATTTTTTCACCTTTAGGGGTGAAAAAATATAAATATAAAAAAAATTATATATGAAGTATTTGATGCAACTATTTTGAAGTCATTCTAGTAAAAATTTCCAGCTAATAACCTCCAAACCCGAGGCTTCAATTCTTCTATACACTACGTCTTATCTCCAACTTCAGAAACTATTAAGTGCGTCAGCAGTTTCCGCCGCCGCGCAGTATGCAACATATTTAGGTTTTTGAATGCGGGGCTAAAATACAAAACACAAAAATAATATATAATATTTAATATAATAAATTAATTCATACATAATTTTTACATTAGATAATAGATAAAAAATTCTGTTATTTTGATGTATGGTAAAACTGAAATCACCACAACGTGTAAAGGTCTTGCCAGAAATATATCATGCTTTCCGACAGATACCGTTATAAACATTTTGTTTATGCCTTGAGTAAATTCAAGAGAAGTGTATATCCATGTTAAGCAGTGAATTTTACGGACTGGTGAAGAAAAACTGTGATGATTATGTAGAATATTCTCGAACACAAAATTGTTTGCAGCTTATTAGAGCTGCCATCCGTCCGGGTTTCAACGGATTTGTTCTTGTTTGCAGTGAGCCCGGGGGCCATTTGTATAGTGTCCAGTATATTTAAAGGATGTCCGGGGGGAAAACTCGATTTCAATGAAATAACAAAGTTTTTGTCCGGCATCGACAATTTAGGTGGCAACATATCAGGAGCTTTAGGAAGTCTAAATCTAGTCTCTGTAGGGCGTCGTCTCTGTAGCATTAAGTGTTGAAAACATGCACAAGTTTTATAAGGGATTAAATTAATTCTAAAAAAAACACGTTAAATACGCTAGGAACTTATCCTGTATCGTGAAGACGTTTAATACATAAAGTGCACATGAAAAACATCCTGACCGGGAACAGATAATTGCAGACCATACAAATACTAGTTCCATGTGGGATCCAAGTCCGTCAGAGCGTCGCAACTAAAAACGTAACTACAGAGAGATACCTTTACGAAATACAGATTTACAACTCAATATGATATAACTGGAAATAGATGTCGACCAGTATTTTTATTATTTTTGGATGATAGATGTCGTCTATAGGTCATAGTAATAGTATCCACTTCCCATAAGGTGAACTGTGCTAGTATGTCATCTTTAACTCATCTTGTACACGACTGAAAAATTAGTGACAAAACGTCATTAGGGTGTTTTAATGATACTGACAACGCTCTACAAAGCGAAAGCTAACCAATTGTGGCTGATTGTCTAATGCTTGATATGTAATTTTCATCATGTCACTCATAGGCATTTGCTTCTTTATCTTTAGGAGAATCCAGCCCTGAGTATAGTAATTGTGTAGGATATTCTGTGAGACAGTGTCCTTCCTCATTTGTCTTTGTTATGTAGTAGTTTCGTGTGTGTATATAGTGCAGCGGGGTGAGCAAATGCGGCGGAACATTGGGAGCATCGAAGTGGACGCTCTCCAGTGTGCGTTCGCACATGTGAACGTAGTATCGTCAGCGTCTGGAGAATAAAACATCTGTTATTGCGGGGCAAATATGTCGCACAAACATTATCTAAAGAAATTAAATCGTTTAAGGCGAAACAGTGCCTCAGTAAATAAAATGATATATCTTGATTGGCTCACTTTCACATCAAATAAATATACATTTATATGTTGGGTATATTAGGACGGTTTTAGTTGGTACTCCTTTTCGGACTAGGAGTTTGTCTGCGTAAGTATCATCCCCTTACGTATTTCTGTCGCAAAATAGCAGCGCCTACACTGCTGTGTACCTGGCTGAAGGATAAAGAGATCCAGTATAATTACAAGCTGTACGGTATCACATCTTAGTCCTCAAAGATGTCCATAGACTGCAGTCTCCACTTACCATCAGGTGGACTGTAAATTCCTTAGTCAATTCAGTTTTATAAAAAATATCACAAGCGATATAGCCACAATTGCGTTATGGTTGCAGCATGAATCGATCGCCTCGTCTAGAGAAGGACCACGCTCGTACAGAATACCAGCGTGAAATAGCAGCATAATGCTGCTGTAATTGTATAGTGGGTGGCGAGAACCCAAAGACACTTTATTAGCAACGAGGCGTTACGTATAAGTCCTCATGACTGACAACGCAACTGTATTTTAATTATTATTTGACAGATTTAGGTGACTGTTTGAGGTATACAACCTTAATTTGTCTGGCGGGCACAAGTTTCTTATTACAAAGTGGATGATGCAACACTTAGTCTGCCACGTTTCTCCAGTGCGTTGGCGGATTTCACACCATGTCAATGTCGCATACGAACAGTTCCTTACGATATTTCCATTCACCGCCGAGAACTTGCTAAATCAGCAGTTATATTTGCAATTAACAATTTATTGGAATGTATCGAAATCGAATGTTTCAACTTAATATTGGTTATTTATAGGTACTTTTTATTGCACACATACTGCATAAACACACTGAACATTATATTATAATTATATTAATGTGTACTTGGCGGCCTTATCGCTAAATAGCGATCTATTCCAGGCTAACCTCGGTGAAGGAGATTAATTTTATTTAAAGTTATATAGAAGTGTTAATAAATGGAGTATATATTAATAACAATTTAGAAATATATAACTAGCCGTAAATCCGCGACCGCAGTAATCGCAAATCTTATTTCTCGGGGGTCTCTTCTTCTCGTGCACGTAGTTTTTGTGTTTCTTCAAAGCCGAACCATTCTTGAATACCTGAGAAACGGCAATGATGTTTTAGAGAGTAAGGATGACAAACGAGCACACGGTTCACCTGATGATTAGTGGACGCTGTATCTCATTGACATATGTAGCTGTGGCTCATAGACATAAACTGGAGACTCTTTTTACTGGTAACGAGGCGTTCCATCTAAGTTCTCAGGGACAACAACCCATCTTTTTTTTTTTTTTTTTTTTTTTTTTTTTTTTTTATAGGAGAGGGGGCAAACGAGCATGCGGCTCACCTGATGGTAAGTGACTACCGCCGCCCATGAACAACCGCAACACCAGGGGAATTGCAGATGCGTTGCCGGCCTTTTAAAAAGGAGTAGGCTCTTTTCTTGAAGGTCCCTAAGTCGTATCGGTCCGGAAAAATCGCTGATGGTAATCGATTCCACAAGGAAGTCGTGCGAGGAAGAAAACATCTTCTAAATCGCACAGTGGTGGACCGCCAATCATCCAGATGGTGTGGATGGTATCGGGAGTTCTGCCGCGATGTGCGTTCATGAAATTTGGCGGCTGGGATTAATCCGAACAATTCCTCAGAGCACTCCCCATGGTAGATGCGAAAGAAAATGCAAAGAGATGCAACATCTCTTCGCAGTGCCAATGAATCGAGCCGATCGGAAAGGGCTCGGTCGTCGACGATTCGAGCCGCTCTGCGCTGGATGCGGTCAAGTGGAAGGAGCTGGCACTGGGGAGCCCCTGCCCAGAGATGGGAACAGTATTCCATGTGAGGCCGAACCTGCGCCTTGTAAAGTTGCAGGCGGTGTGCCGGCATGAAATACTGTCCCGCTCTGCTGAGCACGCCAAGCTTTTTAGAGGCCAATTTGGCCTTCTCTTCCAAGTGACCACGAAACTGCACGTCACTCGATATGTCGACTCCGAGGATACCGATACTGGCTGAGGCAAGAAGGGGAGTGCCTTGAAACTGAGGAGATACGACAAAGGGGTTCTTTTTAGCGGTAAACGCGCAAACTTGTGTCTTCTGAGGATTAAACTGGACTAGATTTAGTCGCCCCCAATCCGAGACTTTGTCCAGCAAAGACTCGACTTCAGACACAAGTTTGTTCCGGTACTCGGCGACGTTTTCCCGAGAAATATTGGCCCGGCCGGTGTATAGAGCATCACCAGTGCTGTCATCCGCATAGCAATGAATGTTACCAGTTAGCAACATATCATTGATATGCAGAAGAAACAGCGTTGGTGATAGCACACAGCCTTGTGGAACACCAGCGTTAATAGGCTTGTAGTCAGAACATGCACCGTCTACAACGACCTTGATGCTCCGATCTGCAAGGAAGCTGGTGATCTGCATTTTGATCCCTAATCGAGGGTAAATGTCTATGGGTAGATAGATGTCTATGGGCCACAGCATCCACTTTCCATCAGGTGGACTAAAAGCTAGCGTGTAACCCTTAAGTTACAGCTTATATACGTCCCACTGCTGGGCACAGGCCTCCTCTTATTTCTGAGTGGGTTTTAGGGCAAGGAAGTGTCCCAATGCGTGTTGGCGAACTTCACATGTCTTCGAAATAATTTTTCTTATTTCTGAGACATGCAGGTTTCCTCACGATGTTTTCCTTCACCGCCGAGCACGTAGCAAATCAGCACTTAAAATTGTAATTAATGATTTAATTCGGTTTTTTATTACGAAATAAGGGTGAGACCCTTATTCGATACGCACACGGCTACACCCGGTAACAAATGGCGCAACACTGACGCGGTAGTGTTCCTTAAACATCGATAGACTATCGATTAATCGATCGTGTTTGCACTATCAATTCTATCGATAGTCTGGTTAAACTATCGATTGCCATCCTAATCGTAATTTTTGTCTATAGTAGATGTCTCCTTTTAGTCCAAGGTCAGAGAAATTCCTGTCAATAAACTGTGTGTGAATAGCTAATTAATATGTGTAACGCTTACGTAAGTCGCTATTTGTGTGAGTGCCAGAACGGGCGGTTGATCTTGCGTTTTTTAGTTTACTGATTTGTTTTGTATTTGACTTCATAATGAATAAAAAATTGATCGTAAAAATCAATCATTAATGTGGAGTTATTTCTAGATAGTGGACAGTAATAGTCCGTTTGTAAAGTGTAACTTTTATAATCAGAAATATAAAAATTTAGGAAAAACGACCAATCTAAGAGATCACTTGAAAAGAAAGCATGCCGATTAAATAGACAGGTTAGAATCGGAAGAGGGATCATCGTCTGAACATCAAGTTCAAGATGAAGTGCAACCAAAAAATCTAGAAGTTCTTTTAAGAATTATTTTAATAGAAATCAGTTGTTGAAGATAAAGGTTATTGTGACTTTCCTTCACAGTTCTACACTAGCCAGTGACAAATTGCGTATTTCTCAAAGACGAGCCAACAAAAAAGTACAATAATTACTTATTGTTATTTTTATTTGTGATACCTGCTCAAAGAAAAGCGATAGTATATCGATATATCGATGATCTTATAAGAAACTATCGATTACTATCGACAACAATCGATGTTTAATGAACACTATGACGCGGGACACGTGCGCTCGCTCTCGGAGCGGGAACAAGCAACATGTCCCAAGCCACGGGGTCTTTCGGGCCATGTTGCGGGTCACTCTGCAACATTACATCGTCACATAGATTGACTGTTCCTCGTCATGTTGCGGGGCAAAATGGCCCCTAGTGTATCCGGGGCTTTAAATTCAAAATGCATGGTAATGCATTATTTTAACTGATTGTCATTATTAAATACTAGCAACTCCCCGTGCCTTCGCTCGCGTGGTATTTTTTTTGCGCGGAACCCAAAAATAAAAGTAGCCTAAGTTACTTCTTATAACATCAGCTATCTGCCAGTTAAAGTGCCATCCACATCGATTCACAGGTTTTTGCGTGATGCGTGTTCACACAGATTTTTTACAGACTTACTTATCATTTACCGTTATATTTTAACCAATTTATAAAATATTTTTATGAATTATAGCTTGTCTTATTTTGATATATGAGCTCTATTATTATAAGTTTCATTAAAATCCATTCAGTAGTTTTTGCGTGAAAGAGTAACAAACATCCATACATTCTCACAAACTTTTACATTAATACTATATCAGATATAGAGAGATATATCAGAGCATAACAAAGGATCTAACCCCCACTATATTACTACGCACGCACACATTCGTAAGGAACTTTCGGTCGGCAAAAACGTTGTAAACTGAAACGCAAACAGAAAATCGCACTTGTTGCCCATAAATCACATTCAATTTGAAATATTTTCAAATGAAAATACAAGCCTTATTTACTCGTATTTTCAAAAACTATATTGCAATAACGCATATCATTAACATATCATTATTTATATATTTGAACTTAAGTTTAGAATTTGGCTACTCTTTGAAAAATAACTTTGTTTATAACACTTAATAGAGTTTCATAACATGCTATGTTAATTTCGAAGCAAAGTAGAAAAACTTTTAACTAGTAACTTTATTTATACTATACTAGGAGTTTACCTAAAATACTCCAAATCATGCCAGATATAAGATATAATATAGATGTAAAAAATAAAAATGAAAATCTAAAATTACCTTATCGCATTTATTACATTCATGTTTCGCTTTTTTCAAATGGACCCAGTCGATATGCTCCTTCAAGGAACTCTTTGTCAAAAACTTGGTCCCGCACTCGCAGATAAACCTTTACAATCATAATAAATTACAAAAATATACTACGTACTAAGTATATCATTATTCTATTTTATTCCTATCGTTTTAGACAAAGGTTATAGCAGTTATTAGAAGTTATTAAAAATGTAAATAAGGACTCATTAATGATTATATCGCGTAATTCAATCATGTACTGCGATTTTTTTTCGACTTCAAAATGGAGGAAGCTGTCAATTCGACTATATATTCTATTTTTGCATTTATTTATGTTGCCCTATATCTTCGCTAAGAAGTGGGGACTCGGGCGGTGTTGGTATTATTTTTTCTATACACTCATGTCTCAGCACCCACTTCAGCTGCTATAATGTGACATTTTTAAGACTTTGAAGTCAGCTTATATTTTTATTAAAAGTTTAATAATTTTACTTTCATATTACCTATTTTAATTCATAAATATTAAAAATAATAGTTAAATAATATGATAAGAAAACTCTACAGGGTTGCATTGGCAATATGGAGCATACTATGGAACATAAAAAAAATGTTTTGTTTGTTGTACACATAGATTAACACGGGCAACCGGAGGGGCCAGTCAAAGAGTTTTTCCCCGATACAGAACTGTCTGTTTGCGTGAGGAAATCTTGACAAATTGAGAATGAAATAAAGGTGACATGAAAAATGTGTTTGTTCACGCCCTTAGATGCCCCGACAAAGGTCGACCGTACCAGAGCCCATGAGTGGTAGTCGCGACGGGCAACCAAGGGAGGGCCCAATGGCCTATGGATAAATGTTCAAAAACGGCTGACATTATTTGTCAGCCGTTTTTGAACATTTATAGACAACTTGAAATCGGTAAGCACAACTTACCGATTTCAGGAGGTAGGGTTGACCACAGGGTACCAGTCAGGTGGTAAGTGATGTGCATGTAAGTAGTGTGTAGTAGTGTGTACAATGTAACCTGACTTAACCGTTGAAGTCGGACCGCAGATCCGTAAGCGCTGCTTCTCTCCAAAAGTGAGATCTCTCAAGGGGGGCACCAATTGAAAAGTTCTACTTTTATTTCACTATATTAGTTTATCAACTTTTTCGTACATTTAATTAACTTCAAAGTCAACCAAATGAACGTTCATTGAAATTAATTCAAAGTCAACCAAATCAACGTTCATTGAAATTAAAACAAGTGACACTCGACACAAGTAAAGAACAGTAGGTCAAAGTTCAATATTCAATGTTCCGGGTTCACTTAGCACAGAGTTACAAACACGGGAACGAACGCAGTCTCTTCCTGAGCCACAAAGTTCAGCGTTTTCCGACCAAACCAAATTCTTTCGCACGATATCAAAATGTTACAAAGCAACTCGTCGAATCAAACTAATTGTCAATCAAAGTTAGGTTAATAATTCAAACTCAATACAAGCCTCGGCCGTCGCGCAATCTCCTCTCGGGTCACACATTTTTAGCTTTTCAAAACTCAAAAGGGCCTCTTGCCACATAAAGCACGAAAGACAATCAATAAGAGGCGTTTGTCACGCGGCCGAACGCTTCGCACCTAACCGTCATACTGAAAAAGGGTGCGGTCGCCCGATGCGACGCGCGCGCGCATCAGTCCCAGGCGGTGACCTCTAACTTCCATCGGAGGACACGCAGCGCGCGCATCTTGACGCAAGTATTTAAAATATTACGATTTTGCCCTAAACATGTTTATTTTTGAACATATTATACAGGGTATTTGTGAAACGCTCCCGAAAATGAAGACAGACGACAGTACTAAGTATACCTTTGATGATGGGTGCGCTATAAAATCGATCCTGATAAAAAACACCTTTTTACAACGTTTTATTAGATTTATTCATGCTCCATCATGTTAGTACAGCTAAATGAAACGATAATTTCATTAAAAAAAATGAAAATACTTAAACATAAAACCAGTAGTGGAATTACTGAATTACAATCAGCTGAATAAGGGTCAATGTACGCTTGGACGCCGAACTCTTATAGGTCCCGTCACGTAAAAAGAACGCTGGCCTTGAACCTGGATTCAGTTATTTATCAATCAAATTGGTGGTACGAAGGGGGCGCGATAGCGATTGGGTCATGCTTCCCGCGCTTTGTTTGCTTCCAAAATACAGTTGCTCACACACATACAGCTTACTTTGCACGACTCGCGACGATAGTTTTAAATCTATTGTTTTATAACTGAACTAGTGAACGAAAAGGTAAATAGAAGGTGAATGGGAAAAATTGTGCAGTAAAGTTAAAAGTATTGAGGAAGAATAGCGAAAAAATTACCATGTGGTCAACCTGATGACGGAAACATTTATCATTCGCATTGATGATGATGATTCTGATGATAAAAGCTCAAGCGAAGATTAAAGTGATGATGAAGTAGCATCTAGTAACACCAACACACCATCGACATCTGGCTTCCATGTTCCATGTTCCAACGGTATAATGGGCGGCGTGTCACCCTTAGCTTAAATTTTCTTGTTACAAACTACTTTATTATTTTACGATAGAAATAAGAAATAATGCTCAAGTAAACATTATCCATTTTTAATTCCAACCTCTTCCAAAGTTCTAAGTAGTTAGTAAAGTACCTATTATGATTCTACAATAAAACAATTAATTGCTATTATATTATAAAACAATAGCCTAATATCATGTAGTACTTTAGAACGCGACTGTACCCATGCGCAGACACACTCCCTCCACTGTCGACCCGTATCTAGCTCGGTGCGAAACAATGCCTAGCCCGGCCGGCTCGTGTCGCCTCACGCTGTGGAATTTACACATGTCAGCTTCACCAACATGTGGGGAATTCCCAAAATTGCGGGGAATTTAATGTCGGTTGGATATTGGTATAATGTGGGGAAAACACGGGGATTTTGAAAATCGATAGCCAGGGCCAAGTCAGAACCTTTTTTCAAGAAATCTAAATACTTACCTTAACATTTTGTTAGGTTGCTTATGAAAATCGAATGACTCCCTTTTTTTAATTACCTTCATTGCACCATAATGATTTCTTATATTTACGCGAACACTACACATTTAAATAAAACTAATTTTACGGATTTTATCGTGTATATTTACTTATTTTACATTCCCGACGTTTCAAGCACTTTACTGCTGAAAAGTGCTTGAAACGTCGGGAATGTAAAATATTGACGGGGGGATCATGGGAGCACCATATTAACTCCTTAAATTCTAAAATTCAGTTCACAATGGAGTTAGAGGCAAATAATTCTTTAGCTTTCCTAGATGTGTTAGTCATTCGAAATCCTAAGAACACAGTAGGTCACACTGTGTATAGAAAAAAGACCCATACAAACCGATATTTAAACAGTGATTCTCACCACCATCCTTCACAGTTAGCTACCGTGGGTAAATCGTTGTTTCAGAGAGCAAGAGGGATCTGTGACAGTAAACACCTGGCCGCCGAGCTCCAACACGTCAAGCAAGTTTGCACGACAATAAGCTTCGGGTCCCGCGCCTACGTCACAGTGAAAGAGTGAAGCCGGCCACAGTCGAGCGAGTGCCTGCTGTACTACCCTATGTCAGAGGTGTCACTGACAAGATTGGCTACATCTTGAAGCGTGCTTCCATTAAAACATATTTCAAGCCGCCGAAGAAGATTAGTTAGTTTTTACCATCAGTCAAGTGTAATATTCCTCTGCAAGATGCAGGAGTGTACAAGCTTGATTATGAATGTGGTCTCTCTTATATAGGACAAACTAAAAGATCCATAAAAACCCGCGTTAAAGAACACATAGCTGATGTGAAGAATAGACGCTCCGGGAAGTCTGCAGTCTGTGAACACGTACAGGATCGCCCCCGTCACTACATTAGATTTGATAGACCACAAATCCTCGCTAAAGAACACCGATTCCTTCCAAGGATGATTCGCGAGGCTATTGAAATCAAGAAACATCCTAATTTCAATAGAGAAGATGGCTGGGTGCTACCATCTGCTTGGGATCCCATAATTAATAAAATTAAATCCCAACCCAAGCATACAACTGCAAGACTTCATGATACTGTAAGTTCCTACTGCGTAGATCGGAACAAAAATTAATAATTTTTAATCTGGACGTAGCCGTGGTTAACTATGACATTGGGACGTCATACACCTCAGTCCCCCCCCCCCCCGTGACCATGGGTGCTGTAAAGTGCTTGAAACGTCGGGAATGTAAAATAAGTTAATATACACGATAAAAACCGTAAAATTAGTTTTATTTAAATTCATTGCACCATATTTAATTTTCAGATTTATTTCGGCAGCTTTTGTGTATCATTTAATGCTTATCATTTCTTTATTTTTAAAGTTAAAGTAAAAAAAATGTTAGTTAATATGTAAATCTTATAAAATTATTTGAAAATTGTTTCCAATTTTTAAAACAAAAGTGAGGGGAATTTGTGGAGAATTTGTTGAAGTTTTGTCCTTAAATTGGGGAATTTGACATAAATTTTCGGGGAATTTGAAAAATTGGTGTTGGCATCGCTGCCATGTTACACCGAAATTTAGTTTTCCCGCGACATAAGAATTAGAGGCGGCAATCACTATAAAACTTGCAAGTAATTTTTAATAATTTTGACGTACCTCATTTTAAATTCAAAGTATTGGTCGGATTAAATACGGAAAGTCAATTAAAATAAAGTAAAAGTATTATTTTTACATTAATTATTTCTGATAGATTAATTAACAGTCGATCATAATTGCAATTGATTTTAACTATTAAATTATTCAGTACCATATCATTTCTATTTTCTTATGAAAATGAATGATAACGATGAAATAGTGTTTATAATTATGTAAGTGAGTACTGAGTACCCAATTAGGTACATTTATTGATTTCAATATAATTTTTGTAGTAAAGAACTGCTTGTTGCGTCAGGGTACAATTGATTGTGTAATTGTATTAAAAATGACAACCATAACTTCTAAATTTCATATGAAGACTAGTCGTAGGAATAGCTAAACTTATAAATAAAATAAACGTTGGCAATGTGAAGGACGAATGCGTCGTGCGCATT